CTCCACAGTTGCAGCACTTTGGTGGTGTAAGTCTATCCCTACGACACTCGAAGGACCTGTGGTTATCAGCGCATTTCACGCATGATCATTGCATGTCCGTTGAGCGTGACCGTATTCCTGGCAATTAAAACACTGCAGCAGTCCTCGACCGCCACGAAAACGTTCTACTCGGACTGGAATCCGCTGTATGTCTGTGATGGTAGAAATTTGCCGGTGATTCTCCGTTTCTTTAAGGATTGTGAGAAAAAGTGGGAGGAGCCTGTAAGTTCCTCCTACTCTTCTTTTATACTGTATTACGTGGTGGGTTTCGATGTTTAATTTCCCTAATTCAAAGGAAATATCCTCTGTTTTGAAGTCAACTGGTTGTCCACGGATTGAAACTTTTGTAAACTTAATATGTAGAACTTTCGCTGAAGTTGTGGGTGGATCTTGAGCTTTGTTGAAATCCTCTTCGGATACTGATGTTGCTAAGATAGTGGCGGTCTCTAGAAGTAAAGAGGAGCAGCTGTTTGTAGTCGTGGTTGTGTAATTATGAGGTTTTTTGACACCCGCTGGCTTTTTCTTCTTTTTCCATTTCTTTGTAGGAGGTTCTGTGTTGTTTTTGTTAATACTTTCTGAATCAGAGGTTGAAACTTCTTTAGTCTGTTCCATATGCTGGTCTCCATCGTTGATTTGCATAGCTGGGACGTCAGCTGATGTAGTCGGCATTTCAGGCGTAATTTGTTGAGGTACCGGAATTGAATCGGCCGAATAATATGGTCTTACAGCTCCTTCAGGCACTTTAAAATCGCTGAGCGTGCAATAACTTCCTCTTTTGGACCAGCAAAGGAAGTATCCATATTCATCCTCAAAAATTTCACCGGGCTTGGCATCTGGCTTTATGTAGTTGGGATATATCACCGGTATTACAATTCTCTTGGTGGGCGTGTCTTGCCGCCACGTCCGCAGCGTCGAGATAACATTTTTGCAGTAATTAAAATGAAATGGTCAAATCTAAACTTTACCACCTTTGCCACATCCAAACATAATTGCAAGAGAATGAAATACGTATTACTCACTCGAAAAGGGAAATGGTCGATCAGTAGTCAACATGAAATGGTCAGAAATCTTGAATGCAAAGTCCATGAACCCTGGTCGTGGTTTAGGTCTCAGATCACCAATCAGTCATTATCCAGTGTGAGCATCAGCACGGCATAATCCAGTTCGACCTGTTATCAGACCGCTTACATCTGGATGAAAATTTCCGTTACCCAACCTTGTTGCTTGATATTTCTGTGATCTCGGAATTTGGCCCGAAGGGCCACCAACCGATTCGTCTATTCTGTTGGTCATAATCTAGGAAGTCCTAAGTACTGAAAAGATCTGAGATGAAGTTCAAAATTCACAGTGTAACACTGTGAGTCATGGAGAAAAGTCCTAGGAGGATGCAGAACTCTATCAGTTCTGCGACTCTGGTAGGAGGGAGCGAAGCAGCTTAACAAGCTCTTCGTCTTGTAGAAGTTCCTTCATTTCTTTGAAGAGGAGCAAAAGTCTGCTGGCAGCATCTGTAGTTGGCTTGGGGTGGGCTCTTCTTCCTTTTGTAAATTTTCTGGGTCTTGCACCGCAGCCCGAAAAACAGGCCGGGTGCTCATCATCACAGTTTATGCATTTTGCAGGAGTAGATCTAGGTTTCGTGCAAAGATACGAGTAGTGGGCTTCAGCACACTTCATACAGGCTGGTTCGGCGGCTTGGCAGCTTCGCTGGGTGTGACCATATTTCTGACACCTGAAGCATTGTGCTTGAAAACGTCCTCCTCTGAATCTCTCTACTTTAACAGTAGTCTCTAACATGGAGCTAATGTTGAAGATATTTCTGCTAGTGGGCATGTCCGTTTGGATGATGAGGAAAAGTGGGAGGGGCCTAAGTTCCGGCCCACTTCTTCTTTTAAGCTGAATAATTTTCTCAGGTTGGAGTCCAAATTCGGTGAGATATTTTTCTAAGACAGGAATTTCAGTCCTTTGATGAGAGTTTTCAGTTTTTTGGGAAAAGTATCCATAGTTGTAATGGGAGTAGCTGTGGTTTCTGCCGAAACGGCATTCGCCTCGAGCTCTGCTGGTACTGGGTCCGCTGGGATGGCGGGAGCTGGTTCTGGTCCGGCTTGCATCGTTTCCGAAGTAGAAGTAGTCTTGGTCTCCGGCTGGGTAGAGGAATCTGAAGGAGAGCTGTTGTCTTGGATCATGGGAGTAGAAGTTGTCTCGATAGGCTTGACTTTGGCTTTCTTCTTCTTTTTCCTCTCTTTAGCTGGAGGTTCTGTGATGTTTTCAGTATCGGAGGCAGTGCCCTCGGCACTAAGTTCCATTTTATCAGCCGCTGGGGTGGGATTGGGATCTGGTACTCGAGTGATGAGATCCTGAGTTGGCTCTGGTACCTCTTATTCCTTCTGTTCAGGCAATGGATAGTCCTTTCGGAGTTCATGATAGTATCTACTGGCGACTCTAATGGCACATAGTATTCTTTTAAGTTCGTTGTAAATATAACCATATTCACATGATTTAAGAAAGTCATTGAGTAAGTCTTTTGTAGAGTTCACCTCTTCCAAACTAAATTGCATGTAGAATCCTACAGTATCGGGATGATTATCTGGAAAGAGTCTCCGAGGAATCTTACTAGCTGCAATGGCTACCTCAAGTGATGGGTACTCAAAAACATCAATGTATTCTCCATATGAGTCGGCCGGTTGGGTGATTTTGGGCGGCTAGGCGGTAACACCTTTCCGCCGCGAGCGGTTCTGTTGTAAGGCATAATTGCGGAGCAGAGATAACACACGTCTTTACTCGATCACGTCTTGAGCTCTCTCTCTGGTCTGGTCCGTTACCCAACCTGAGAAATTTTTTTCCCTTCATTACAAGAATTGGAAATGTTTACTAGTAGTTTCCATCGAATGAATTCTCAATTTGTCTTCATATTCCATGTACGAAGCTTGGAGCAGACGAAGCGGTCTAACCCTCCCGATTGCCTGATAAATTACACCTAGAAAAGTTTACGGAACACTTTTGGAAGTGTAATAAAAATTATGTTCGTAGATACTTCCCAACAAGCACACGNTCCGATTTCAAAGATAATTTTTACCCAGATATTTTATGATTTTTTATAATCATTTACCTAGATATTTTATGAATATATTTAAGACATAATTTTTTCTCTCACAAATTTATTATTTCATATAATAAATGGATTAAATAATTAGTTTCGGTTTCTAGCAGAACTTATAATAAAATCTATAATAATCTTACACGACTTTAAGTAAAACGTGAAAATTTTTTCTGTTCCAAATTTTTGTGTATTCTTAGCCATAATATGTTTAGTATAATTGTTGCCATGTTTTTATTAACTTTTATTTTAATTACCTCGTAATATTTTCAAAATATCTGTAGAAAAAAAATGGAATTTTTTTGTTTAAAAAATTGGTGAGTTATGACTGAGATTAGTGCCAAATAAATAAAAAAGATTACTATAACTAAATCGTATAAAATTTAAATAAGAATTACTATAAATTGGATGCTTATTTTTAATCCGCTATGCAATTTTCTATCAGAGNACTTTTGGGCTAGTGAAGGGACAATGTCGGCACACCTAAAGTGCCATTACGGCGGGCTTTTCATCGCCGTATCGGTTCCGTTAATAAAGTGAAATCTGGGCCAAAATGAGGGCCAGTGCATGGCAGTTCAGGCAAACTTCTGGCAATCGTTAAAGGACCGGAACTACTTTGTTGCCTCTTGATTGCTTTGCCATTTTTGCCAAATAAATACCGGCAAAAAAAATTTATTTCACTGAATAAAGAGAAAATTGCCGTAAAGGCTTTTATTGTACCTTTATGATGTCTTTCTTGCCTTTTTATAAAAAGCTGAATACGTTCACTGGCACACGTCGTTGCCTCGCTTGCCGTTAAAGTACCTTAACTGTAGGCTGATTAGAAAACGTCTATGCCGTTTTCGCCCGTATTGCACCTTTATTTCAGGTGCTTAGGCAAACTTCTTTGCCTTCGATGTACCACCCTTAAGGCCGTTGGCACCGTNCTGAGGAGTTTTAACCGTTTTACTGACCACCAGGGGCTAAGGTTTCCTCCACTCTTCCTCCCCATAGACAGTTCACTTCCTTTTTCAGGTGCCAACGGCCTTAACCCACCTCAAACTTGGTTTAATAGAAAACTTTAATGCCGTCCTTGCCGGTATCACACCTTTATTTTAGGTGTCTCGGCATTTTTTTTTTGTTAGTTTGCAAGTATACTTGCTTTTATTAGAACTTATCGTATTTTTTAATTTCAAAGACTTTTTGCTGCATGTTTTTGGTAACAATTCAATTTAGGGAACATAAATTATTTTGTTTTACTGTGCTGATATCAGCGATAGTGATTTATTGTGTTTTAACTTTTTATACTGTAATAAAACAATAACTGTCAATACACGCAAAATTTTTTATGCTGATATAAAACGCAAAATGATGGAAAAAATTGTTTAATTTATAATCAATTATCTGCCAATGAATCTTCTTACAATAAAATAACTTTTTTATTTCATTTTAATCAATTATAAGCGCAATCACTTAAAGTAAAAGCAAATAAAAAAAATTTCAGAATTGAGTGCTTAAAATTTTTTAAACATTATGAGATAGGTGAAATTAAGTACAAATTTTTATTCTACTATATTTTTATTCTAGCATAATACAACTCAATATATAAGTTATTTGCGTTTTGAAAATAATGCTTAGATATTTAAAACCTACAACTAGCTTTTCTTGATAGAAACTTACACACTAAAGCTTATTTATCTTATAATTATAAGGCTCATTTATCAAGTCATTAAATTTATCAAATATTAGATAAACAAAATATATCTTAAATATTTTTTTTAAAAAAAGAAGTGTACTTGTAAATTGCACACAAATTTAATAATTTTAAATAAATAAAGCAAGAATTTTAACAACAATAAAATGCTTAAAGCATAAAATAAAATATGATCTCAGGAAAAGAATTTTATTTTATTTACATGTAACAAAATCAATGCACCAATTCTAAATTACAATAATTAATTTTATATACATCCAATTCAAGAAGCTGTACTTTTCAATGAATCTAGTTTTCCTGCAAAAAATAAAGCAATTTATTTTACTATACATGCATTAAATGTTTACAGAAACAAAATATCAACAAAAAAAATTATTGATTTAAATCAGCTGATTTTTTAAGAGCCATTGATTAAGACAAGCTGAATTTTCAAAAATATGCTATAGAATTTAATTAATAACTGTATCCTTCTTTTTTTTTTTTTTTTTTAAGAAGGTCTGACTTCAGTGATAATGATGGTATTTCGCTAAGAAATAATAAAAGAGACATGCATGTATAAATTATTATAGTCATACATCTCTTTAATAATTACCTTTAAGAAAAGCATTGATTTAAAGAAACAGATTTAGAAAAAATCAATTACTTAAATAAACTGATTATTTAACTATTATAAGTATAAAAATGTTTTCTTACTATATAAGCAATAAAAAAATTATTTAGAGTATGTTTTACAAGTGTTTTTTTTTTTTCATTAATAAGGTTGTTTACTAAGATATGATGAAAGGGATATGCAAGCAAATTATTATTTTATAAAATAGATTACGTGCCAAAGAAACATATTAAAATTATTCACACTTAATTTTTCGATTATATAAATGCAGTTCAGATATATAGCCTATGGATATGAAGAATCATTCTACCCAAGATAGCATAAAACATTTTTTTCAACAATGTAGTCTGACCTAAACTAATATAATCTGCTTTAGATATCCAATTGAAAAATCGAATAGCAAACTATAACATTCATTAGAAAGTAGAGCATGAAAAACATAACTTTAATTCTATAATATAATATTATAATATAATATATGACTCTATAATATCATAACTATGAGACTATTGTAGCTGTAATAATATTTTAAAGTAATGTTTAGTATTATTAAAACAATTCATTCGACGTTTTAAATGGTTAATGTAGAAAGAATATCTATAGAAAAACAATTTAAATAAAATATCTTTTTTTAATGATTTTCTTAAACCCTGGAATTTATTAACAATATCCACATTATATTTCATTTTATTTAATGTGACATTATATTAATAACCAAATAGCAGGTACATAATACATTTATCATTTTACTGTAAAAAAAAACATTTTTAGAAAAAGTATAATTTGCTCTAAATACAATAAGAGCAAATTTTAAGGAAAAAATAACTAAATTTACCTTTTTTTTAAATTCCAGAAACAAAGTTTGAATAATTTTCTAAATATATTAATGGGCAATTCGTAACAGTTTGAGATCAATAATTAGGAAATTTTAATAGTACTACTCCATTGAAAATAACCAGTATCAATTATTTAATACTGTTTTTAACCAATATTTATTTAAAATCTGCAATTAAATTCACGACCTCTTTAATAAATTACTTTTAAGTGGGGTTTCAATAATTTTGAAACGAAATCAAAGTAAATGTGTCTAAGCATTTCAGTATTTGTTTGCTCTGTTTTCATTACAAGCCTGTTATAAAAATTTTCTTATCATTTTATTTTTTTAAACTAGTTAGAAAACAAAATTTGAAAAGAAATTATTTTTTACTGTTAAAATAACTATATAGGTTCATAAATGAATAATTAAATATTTTTCATTATTTTATTGAAAATGTGAATATTATATAACATTTAGTTTTTCCATAAGTGTCATCAACATTAACAGTCATATTAAAGCAATTATTTTAACAAATATTTCTTTACTTAAAAGAAAAAAAACTTTTTTAAGAAATACATTAAAACAATTAAAAATTTAATGCTCACGCTAAGATATTAATTTGTAAACACATCATGAATTCGAAATTTTTATGCTAATGCGGCTTCTTTAAATTTTGGGTCGAAAGGCTGATGTATTTTTTTACTTAATTAAACAGCAGTTTAAAAAAATCTATTATACAAGGTTTTAAATTATTTCATTTTTTGCTCCCGCTTTAAAATCAGTTAATAAATAAAGTCCTAAATATATCTTTAATTTGGTCTATTTGCAGAATTTATGAATTTCCTCCTTTGTTTAATTATTTAAAGGTGTTTATAAGTATGTCATTAACTTTTAATATCCTATTAACTTAAAAAATACTTTATTTTGATTTGATTTCTAAGTATATTTCACTCAGAAGTACGAAAGAGAAGGATAATATATTAAGAGTACGGCAAATATTTTTATTTTTAGTAACTGACAATAAGTTGAATGTTTACCAACTATTTTTTTTATGCTCAATTCAAATTGTATTTTATTATAAACTAATGATGATCTTGCTTTTACAATAATTATCATTGGAAAAGACTAAAATTTAGTCCAGAATTGTAGAGGAAATATTTAGAGGACAGGTCTAAATCTAACGTAAATAATTAGACTTGAAATTTTAATTTGTTATGCATCATTTTTAGAAGTGAATTACTTAATGTATAATATTTATAATAAAATTACAAAATAATAATAAGATTTTTTTAACTTAATAAAGTAGTTTTTAAAGAGAAAATTTTTTAATTTATAAATAATAAGATATGTATGAAAAAAATAAGATATGGGAGCCAATTAGAATTAAAATAATAAATAAATAAATGAAATAGATAAATTCTAAATAAAACTTTTGTTGGTCAGGACTCCCACTCATTTTTAGAAGTAAAATTCTATGATTTTTTGAGGAAAGTTTCAATCAATTTTTGGATAATATATTTCCTCTTCGTAGTTATCATCATAAATATATATACTTTCATTAAACAATTAAAGTTACTTTTTTATAGAAAATATGTCAAGTATCCCCTTTATTAAAAACTAAATTTTAAAATTAATACCGAACAAGTATATTTTAGAATAAACAACCACATAAAAATAAATGGAAACCGAAAATAACAAATTAAGTGAAAGATAAATTAGAGAAGATAAATAACAAAAAGCTTTATTTCATGAAAAAAAAATGTTATTATATTGAAAATATAATTGTACTAATAAATAAATTTGAAAAAAATATCCACGAAATATTATTTTAATTTCGAAAAAGTTAAATTAATTATGAAAAACTATTTAATAAAAAAAATTAAAATATACATGATCGGAAGAGCAAAAGATATAGTTACTACTTACTTGTTCTTCTGTAGAGGAATGACTATTCTTCTGAAAAAGGAGACCCCTTAGAGACAAGGGGCTACATTTATCTCCTTTTTTTAAAAACTTCTTCGCCAAATGAGTCTTTTGGCTTGTTGGGTGCATGCAAATAATCAACGACCACCTGCGGTACGATGACATGCAAGATCCGTCACAAACTTATCCCCCCCAAAATGAACAAAAGGCATTGTAA